CTGTGTCAAAGTTTTGGTTTGTAGAACTTGTCCTGTATTAACGAGTGAAATGGGAACTGATGTCTTGCCCAAACCACCTGGCCCTCTACTTTCTCAATCCATCAGTTGTCTTAGCTAACTGTGGGAAATGTGGCTGAGCAGGTGTGAGAGTAACGGCAGCCTTTCCTCACAGTCTTGGCCTGGCTTCCTATGTGCCTCTTATACAGGCTGTGCGGGGAACGGAAACAAAGTCGTCACATGTTGGGGATCATTCTTGCAAGTAAACCAGTTAGGACAACAAATACTAAGTTTAAACATAGCTAAGATAGAGGGAAATATCTATATCTGGGAAAATGAGTCTATTAACACTAATGCTTTTGACAATTACTGCATACCAAAACACTCTGGAGAAGAGAAGGGCTACATTTCAGCACCAGACTGTTGTAGTTCTGGTTAGCTTTCCGAACATGCATCACCAAGGTTACTATAGATAGATGTAGTCCATCTTTATAGAAAGAAACAGTGAGCTGTAAGCTGCAAGGCTCTTCGTGAAGCCAGAAGTACCTAATAAGCTGGTGAGTTTTGCTAGCTCCCTGCTGCTTTTTGCCCATGCTTGATGGATGGTTGTAGATCCACTGGCAATTCTCCAGTCCTGCCTTGGCAATCATGTGGAATGTATTATCCTCTCGGGCAGAACTGCCAAATCTGTTCCAACCTTTCCACTCAGCTGTAAACCCAAATGCTTAAACACAAATCACTTACATGACAATACGCTCTATTGTAAAAAAAATCCATAAAAGGCTGGAAAGGATACCAGTGAATTTATCCTCTCCACTGTTACGATCCTTTGGTCATTCTTCTTCCAAAAGGGTAATATTTATTTATTTATTTATTTATTTATGGGTAATCTTTGGATGTCTTATATACATACTGATCAAATATATGGGACTGAGATGATAAAGCACTTAGAGATTTTTAGGTAGACACCAACAAATTTACTCTTCACCTTCAGCTATAATGCTCTCTCCAGACTTCTGCTCTATGTGTTTTTGTGCATTGATGAAGATCTAACCTCTATTAACAATAGAAACCTCAGAAAGGACACTGATAACTCAGTCCAACAAAAATTTTGTCTGGATATACAGCTTTGTAATTTTTAAATCCTTTCAACTTTTCAACCCATTTTACTGTGTTTGTCTGGAGTCATTGCCATAGTACATTGCAGTCACCTCAAGTGACTTCCTTCCCTAGTGTATGCAATCAAATTTTTCAGGATGGTAAAGCTCTGCCCATCATACTACTTTCATATGATATGAGAGTTCATTTCTTTAAACAAGCTGTTTCACTTCCATATGCCACTCATTTCAGATTTGACCATCACGTCCGCTCTGATGTTCTATTGAGCTGTCAAGTCATTTGAAGTCCACTCCCATGTTTAAATTTTCAAATGATGAACTCAACGGAGGTGCTGTAAAGAAATAGCTCAGCCTCTGGGGTCGGGTCTGGGGGATGGTGAAGGGGGCAAAACACTCCCTTTATATCTTCATATCTTATTGGCAGCAAAACACAGTGGGCTTTATGCAGGAGGAAAGCACATCAACATCTGCAGGCTACCACTTGCAGCTGTTACAGTTTCACCCAGTTAACATCACATATATTCATGTCCTACAAGTGACTTCTATTTCTTCTCTGGTTAGGAGGGAGAAAGTTATGTTAAAAGTCCAAAGTCTAAAATCAGTACAAAGAATTGGTATTTCTTCCTGTACTAGTCTTACATGCATCACCAGATAATGCCTTTGAAATGAAGCATTATTTGACATCTCTGTTGTATTATATGATAAATGGAGATTACACTGTGCTGGCTGCTCTTCTTGTAACACTTGGGTGATTTTCTATGCTAATAAAATGGACTAAGTAGCTCTTCAGTTTTAATCACAGGACCACATGATTGATTTCTGCACCAGTTTTATGTGGACATCTATGCAAGAAAAGCTCTGTCTGCAATAATTTCTTCTGTCTGGTTACCTAATGAGATTGTTGATTCATTGATTGTGTCATTCAATAAGCTTTTAAAGACTTGTGGATTTGATTTGCACTCTATGAATAAGCTGAGAGAAGTTTTGAAACAGAACCCTAAGACAGATACTTATGTCAGCAGAAATTAAAGATGTGAATACCTTACCCTAAGGCATCGTTAATAGGGGTTTATTTTAATTTGATTTCAAATTCAGGGCAGAGGCCAACAAAAATTTCATTAATTTGTATGCTATGGAAAATACATTCACCAAATTGATTTGGGGGATTTACGTAATATGATGTTCTTAGAGCACTATATGGAGTCTGACCCTTATATTTCATCCCTTTTGAAGTAGAGTACTTTTTCATTTTCATGTTGCCTTGTTCATTTACTTAATCCTTATAGTTAGTTATTACTTAACCTATAAAAAATAATTATCTACCAACTGAACACAGTGTTATTATTACTTTCATATTGTCTTCCATCATTATTAGCAGAGTTAACTTTACAAAAATATTATTTTTTTAAAATATTTAATCCATTCCATTGTGTATGCATAAATATGCAGAAACTTTTAACTATAGGGAACATCAGTTATTCCAAAGATCTTTTGCTAAGGACATTCTGTAACATCTGTGACTCATGGTTAGGGTAACATGTGGTGCCAGTGGAGAGTCCATAAGTGACAAAAGTTTAGAACAGTGATGCGTGTTAAGGACAGAGAAAATAGTGATCTCAATCTGCATGGTCCTATCTATTTGCAGAAACTGCCAGCCATATAGATACCCGCTCTGCTCTGGTCCCAGCCTCAGCCCCCAGCAGGCTTTAGCTAGATCTATTCCTGTGCTTCTCCAGAATGGTCCTTAGGGAAGACTGATTCTAATACAGATCACATTATCAACCATCAAGTCTCCTTTTCACAAATTACTTGCATTCATTCATCCAACATTCTTCTTCCTGCTGTGATTCAAGTTATATCTTTCTTTCTCTAAGATTTTCTTCTCCCAGGCTTTCTCAGTCACATTTTGCAGTTTACCAGTTTCATCACTCTTCCAGTCTTCCCTGGAAATTTCCACATCCTCAGGAAAGTCTTGTTACTGCAGTGTCCATGGACATCTCTGGTTCTGTTTTATGTTATCAAATCTTCAAAACCCCTTTTCATCCTGCTCTTTCCTTGCACCAT